CTGAGGATTGTAGTTTGAAGCAAGTCCTGGCAGGAAAGTCTGTGAGACTATTTCCAATTAACCACTAAACAAGCCAGAAATGGAGCTGTGGCTCAATGGGAGAGTGCTGGCCTTGAGCAAAAAATCCCAAGGACTGCACCCAAGCTGTAGGACCTAAACAAAACAAAACAAGTCTGGCTTTCATAGTTAGGATATAACAGGCACCACGGAATGCAGCTTTCTGACACTCTCGAACGTTTCTTCAGGGACTACTTTGATCCTCTCAAACTCAGTCCCTCAATCAGTTAGGATTGCCCTCAATCAGTTAGGATTGCAGGTGTGAGCCACTGACCGGCACCTGGCTTTGTTCACCTTTTTTGGGGGCAGAACTCAAGGCTTGCTGGGCATTGGTAGAATTACTTGAGCTGGCCTCCAGCCCGTTTTAGTTGACAGTAAAAGGATGGCAGTTTGAAGCCTGCCAGGGGGGAGGAAAGTCTGTTGAGTCTTATCTCCAATTAACAACCAAAAAGACGGAAGTAGAGCTGTGGCTCAGAGGTAGTGCATCACCGACCTTGAATGAAAAAGTTGAGACAGAGCCTAGGCCTTGAGTTCAAGCCCCAGTACTAGCTACACGTGCACACACACACACACACACACACACACACAGTGTAATCTCCAAACTTTTCCTTCAATTCATTCTCTCGTTTCCAAGCGACAGGGAAGGCAGACAGGCAGAGAGCTAGCCCTGTGCAGTGACTTCCAGACCATTGACCCTGGACCACGTGTGAACGGAGGGGACATTGGAAAAGGGTCGCCCCCTCGCTGAGAGACCATCTAAGGGATTCCTTTCCCAAGGACTCGCTTGCAAAGCTCAGCTCATCGCGGCCCATCGGGTTTCGACCCCATTCTTACCCATTGCAAACTCCACCAGCGTTTCACTCTCCTCCGACAGCGAGTCGAGGAATAAATCCAGGACTTGCAGTTGCCGCAGGTACTGGTAGTTGTTGGGGTCATAGGCGAAGTTGGCAAGGTTGGCGAGGACCTGCTCCTTGGCGTCTGAGTGGGAAAGCGGCACTGGAGCCCGGCCCCGCGGGGGGCA